CCTTTTCCCTGTACTATTACGAGCCCCCGTGGTCCTGGGGTGACTTGTGCCTGCCGACAGGAGCCTGGCCTGCTGCCTGGCCAGGGACACGGCTCTGCCGGGTGTTGTTTCCGTCATCAAGCAAGGTGAGCCAGGGATCAGGTCTCACTGCACGACCTAGGTAGGCATTAGAGCTAGGTAGGCTGGGCTGTGTCCTCCAGGGAGACAGGGGAGGGAGTAAAGAGGGCATAAGGAGGAGACAGTCCTGTCCTGCTATGGAAGCAACAGAAAAGACTTAAGATGTCACTTGGATTATCCTGGATTTCCTGTGACAACCAAAGCTTCCTTTCCCTGGGCCCCCCGGGGACCCGATGACTTGTGACAGCTGAGGGGCACAGCGATGCCCCCTCCCAGAGCCACACACAGCCCTCTGACAACTGCAGGAGACTGCCCTGGCTTTATCCCTCTCATTCCTTTGGTCCCCATTTCCTTGGGGGGCACAGAAGCTGCCATCGGGGTGGAGACCTGCAGGTGAGCACTGAGAATGCTCCTCCTCCCCCGCTGAAGTCCCGGCCTGCCTCTCGTGACCATGGGTGCCCAGGTCATCAGCGGGCAGAATGAGGCCTATGTGGCCGTCGCCCTCCTGGAGACAGTGCCACACCTGGCTGCTCTGGAGCTCAAGGACAAGTTTGTCCCTGGGGCCCTTTTGGTCCCCGTCCTGGCCCCAGGCTCGTGCTGGTGAGGCCTGGCAGGGGTGATTTCTTTCTTTCACTGTGCTGTTACAGCAAAAGACTCAGGTCGTAACGCTTGGAGTTTGATGAGTTGCGACAGATGGGTTTATCTGTGTCGCCCGCACTTCTCCTAGGACAAGGAAGGCTTCTATCACCCCAAAGCCCTCCAGTCCTCTGGGGCCAAAGCCTTCCCAGCCCAGACGCCTACAGGTCCGCTTTCTTCTGTAGTGGAGCTGTCTGTCCTCTGACTGACAAATGCGTCTCCCTGATGACTGACAATGTGGAACTGCTTTTCATCCTGTTTATCAACCTTTTTGTGAAGTGTTTGTGTTGCCTGCTCTTTCCTTTAAGATTTTATTACTGAGTTGTAGGAATTCTTTATGTATCTAGATACAAGTTCTTTGTCAACAGTGTGTTACAGGTGCTTTCCCTCCATCTGTGGTTTGCCTATTCATTTTCTAAATGACATATTTCAAAAAGCAGTTTTTATTATGAAAAGACTCTAGCTTACTATTTTTCTGTATTAATTCTATGTCCCAAGGAATCTTTGCCGACCTGAGGTTACAAAGATTATCTCACACTTTCTTCTTAAATCTTAATAGTTTCTGGCTTTTATAGTTAAGTCAGTGCACTAACTTGAATTAATTTTTCATGAAGTAAGGGTTGTGATTTTTGTCTTCATTTTCGTACACAAATAGTATCATTTGTCAGATTTTCATTCCTCTATTGAATTGCTTTGATACCTTTGTTATTAATATTAATAAAGTACTCACTTTAGGAGGAAATTGGTTCCAGAGCTGCCTTCAGATACCAAAATTTATGCTCAAGTCCTTATATAAAATGGACAGGATGTGCATAGACCCTGGACACATTCTCCCATTTATTTTTAGGTATATGACGGTACATGCATATGTAGGTCTTTAGGTATAACCAAGTCATCTCTAGATAAAATCATTATGGGAATAGTTGCTATAGTGTGTTGCTTAGGGAATAATGACAGAGAAGAGTCTGTGTATGTTCAGTGTAGCATAGTGTTTTTGGAAGAGTATTTTCGATCCTTGGTGGGTTGAACCTGACCATGTGGAGCTCATGGATTTAGAGGAACACACTGCTTCCTGCAATTCTCCTGGTTGGGCCAGAAGGAAGCAGCCAGTGAGCTGTGTGCTACACACACCCCATGTCCGTGTCCTTCCTGGGGCTGGCGTGCAGCAGGGATGCAGGCCAGTGCAGTGCACTGAGGTCCTTGTAATCGGTCATGCAGCTTCCCCGGGTTTAGGTGCCCACCTTGATTTCTCCTGTTGACCTCAGGGTTCTCTCCATTGTTTTGATGGTGAGAATGTCAAGTTCTCCCTAAGGGTGGAAGAGAGAGAGAGAGAGAGAGAGAGAGAGAGAGAGAGAGAGAGACCAAGAAACATCACAGCCAACAGCCAACATGCCTTGGCTGACCCTCCTCCCCTCTCCCTGCCTTCTGGTGCTGGACACACCACCCATCTGGGGATGGACTGCTGCTCCTGTGGGGTCCTTAGACCATGTGGGCTTAGAGTTTCCTCTGTCATGCAGGAACTTTGCTGCACCTCTGTTCGTGTCCCAGTATCCAGCTGGCTGTACTGGTTTGAGGATGAATCTACCTCACTGCCCCTCTGAGGACAGAGGGGCACCAAAAGCCTCCCCATGGGACCCACACTGGTCTCAGGCCCAGGCTTCACACCTACTGGGAGGTCCCTGGCTTGTCTGCGGTGCTGCTGTCCTGGAGGTGGGAACCGGAGCTGGCGCTGACACCACAGGTAGGCTGTTCTGTCCCTGGACATCAGTATCCTTGCATACAGGTTAGGAGATGTGGATGCCCTCAGGATCTGTCTGAATCCTGACAGATCACGGTTTCCTCCTCCTCTCCCTGAATAATAACTGGAGATCTCAGAGCTCAGAGCGGGCCCCTTACAAGGCTCTCTGGGGCTGGGTCTGTACCTAGTGTGGTGCCTCCTCGCCCAGTCCTCACAAAGCTCTGAGGCAGACACTGTTAGAATCTGGGTCAGTCAGCGCTCCCACTGCTGGGGCAAAATAGCACACACCCCTCAAGTGAAAGGCGGAGAGGTTTAACCTGGCTCACGGTTTCAGTACCTGGTCGGCTGCTCCGAGGCAAAGGCATCGTGGCGGAAGGGTGTGGAGGAGCAAAGCTGGGAGAATGGGAGAAGAGCCAAGGAAGGTGGGGCCAGGGTTAAGCTACAGTCCCCAAGGTCCGGCCCCATGATGCACCAGAGACACCCGGAAGTGGGCTATAGTAATCCCCAGGCAACTCTCAGGCCAATCCAGTTGGTCATCAGGACTGACTCTCACAGTGCACTGGCAAAGGGGTATGGGGGATCTGGGGCTGAGCAGAGTGGCCACTGAACTGCAAAGTAGCTGCTTATACGAGGGATCATCTGACCTCTTTTTCCTCCTTATTGTTTATTTTCTTGTGAAAATTCAAATGAAAACCTGGAGAGTTGGACATTCCCCAGTGTCCCAGGGGCAGGACAGGTCTCTTGTCAGCACAGGTGCCAGGGGCAGGACTGGCCCCTCAGGGGGCTGAATTCTCAGACACAGCACAGATGCCTTGGGAGGAGCAGAGGGGCCCAGACCCGCATCCAGCTGGCTTCTTTTAGGGCAGATCCCACTAATTTGAAGGTCACAGGCTTGAGTCTGTCGCCTCCTGGTTACCGTATGCCACCAAGTCCTGGGATTTCTTTAGACCTGTTTCCTCATTGGGGAAATTTGGGTAACAGTCAATTGCTCCCCATGGAGTATTGGGGGATGTTTGAGAAAGACCCTTGGAGAGAAAGCCTTTTCCAGAGAGCCAGCCCTGTCTCAGACTGCCTGATCAGGCTGAGTGAAGGCCTGCATTTGACAAATATTTGCTCCAGCTGGGGCCTGGGTGTGTGTGGTACCAGGGTTTTCACATGGCTCACCTACCTTGTTGCATTAGAGAGTAAGAACGAATGTCTAATAGTCATGGGAATGAAGGAGTCTTCCAGAAATGTAGCCTGGGGCTGGACAGGAATGGTCCGCAGGAGAAGGCTGCTGAGAATGCACTGACTGTCTGGTCTCCTTGCATGTCTCACGCTGACACCCTACTTCCCCAAGGACCCAGCCAGGGCCACCAGGACTCTGGACAGGGCTTCACTTCCAAGCTTGCTGTGCGGCCTTGGAATTCCCTTGAAAATTCAAGGGCAAAGTCCACATTAACAACATGACAAGATGCTATTAAAGCCATTCCTTCCCTCTGGAAGCAGCTGCCCACCCCCTACATGCCCTCTGATAATGGCCACTGCTCATCAAATATTTATCCTAGCACTCACGGTCCTCCTTCAGCCTCCAGCATCTTACCAGGCACGAAATCTGATTATTAAAACTGGTCATGAGTGAAGCAGGCAGACTACAAAGTGCCCAGGATAGGAAGGGGGACGTCAAAGACCCATATTCTTCCTTAAAGGTCGCCTTCCGGAAGCAGAGGCCTCTTGCTGGGAACAGAACTGGAAGACCGGGAGAACCCGGCCCTCTGCGAGCACCTCAGACCCAGGCAGCTCCAGCTCCTTTCTTCGGTGCAGAAGCAGCTGGGCCAAGCCTTGTGGCTGGGATCTAACTCCAAGCAATGGATTACGCACAGCTATAGAGGTCGTGCCTGGCTCAGGCCTGTGGCTCCCTTCTCATTCAAGGGGAGCCTTGGTATCCTCTTTGAAGCTTGCCTCTTGCAGAACAAAGAAGAGAAAGGCAGAAGATGAGGAGCTAATTCCGAAGGCTCCCTGGATCACGACACCCACATCTTGGAGGTATCATGAGTCTGGATCTAGGTCACTGTGGTATCGTGAACACTACCATAGAGACAGCTATGTGAACCCCGGGGTTTCCCTGTGTGCATGTGTGTCACAATGCAGTGTACTAAGTGTGCAACAGCATTGTGTTTAACTGGAGTTTAAAAATACTTTATTGTCAAAAACACTAACGATCCGAGCTGTTGGGAAAGGGCTGCTGGTAGACCTGCCACAAACCCTCGGTCTGTGTAGATGCAGCACCCACAAATTGCAGTACAGCAAGCGCATGAGCTGTCCTGATGTGCCTCTGTGCTGCTGTGACTGTGCCCACTACCGAGAGGAAGAGACCCTGAGGCACAGAATCAGGCCCGGTGCTTAATGGATCCCTGGGGCCCATTAACCACACGGACAGCCAAGGGGCCGCGTGTCTAGGCGGGGAGGGACAGCCTTGTTCTTTTCCTCGTTTCCCTTCCCCTAAATTAAAGACAACACCTGTAGACACTTTCTCAGCACGGACCCTTTATTTTCTATGAGTCCCCATTTATCAGACGAGGGCCGATGCTCCAGCTTACAAACACACCTTTTCCTCTCTCCACGGCCCCTGGAGCCTGGTGTGGTGACGTCAAAAGCGGCCCTCCACGCCCAGCTGCCGCACCACGGCTGCCTGGATGTCTTGGTGGATGTGGCTGACCTCCCTCTGGGACAGTGTCCGCTCCATGTGGCGGTAGGTGATGCGGTAACAGTGGCTGGTCCTGTGTGTCCTGCAGAGGGGACAGAACGAGGCAGGTGAGCGACAGATGTGCCTGGACTTGTGGGAGTGGAAATGCCTGCCAAGATCAGACTCCTTCCACCGACCACAGCGGAGGACTGAGCTGAAGCCAGGATTCCACCTGCATTTCATTACCGAGCTGTCCCTGCCGGGATGACGGAGTCTTTCAATGCTTCAGGAGACAGTGATGATTAGGACAAATTTAGCTTGAATAAACCACTGGGCTTGGTGCCTCCCAATCCTCTGGGAAGGATACTTTTGACAGACCTGATTTCCTCGCTCAGCCCTTGAGAGTCTGATTCAGCAGCTGGGAGCTATGACCAGCACTCAGGCCTGCCCCAGGCTCCCAGGTTCTGCCTTTTCCCTTCTGTCATGCCATGGCCTTGAAGTGGGCTGCAGGTGCCACTGGCACCTGGGTCACCGCTCACATCTATGGGACGATCTGACCATCCCCATCATTCAGGGGCTCCTAGTACCCGGTGATGGCACTCTCTGAGGTCCCCTCGCCTTTCCTCTCCCCATTCTGTTTCAATGCCGGACACCCCGGGGAGTGTTCGCCTGGGAAGTGAAGCATTCGCCTTGGTCCTGGCCGCCCAGCATCTCCCAGGGCCCTCTCTTCCCCATCTGGCTTGGTTGTGTATCCTGCCCAGAGCCCATCTTCAGGCAGAACAAGTTCTGCAGTTGCAGCCAGGCTCAGAGCCCTGGGGTGTGCAGAGCCACAGGAATCCAGACCCTGGGGAGGAAGTCTTGCCCAGGGCATTCCCTAGTGGGACACACCTGCCCGCTCACTCTAGGTGAGGGGAAAAGACTCCTCCCCATTTGCCTCCTTAAGGGGGGCCTGGTGGGAAGTCTTAGGTCACTAAGGGTGGGCTGTGTAGAGGACAGAGGGAGGTGTAGAGGTGGTCATGAACAGAAGCCCCAGGTCTCCTCTGTCGCAAAGTGTGGTTCCCATGACAACTGCAGACACAAGGCCTCCCTGGCTTATCCTGGACAGATGAGAGGAAGGATGCCGTGAAGCCGGAGGGCGTCCTCAGCCACCTGCCTGAGAGTCCGGACCGGAGCTCCACGGCATCACATGGCAGCTTTCCTACCCTGAGCCCTTGGAACTGCTTACCTCCGCCCCCATGGTAACGGTGGCAGACGGAGGCCTCTCAGGCATTAATTCACAAAACCCCACTGTGTAGAGGGCATGACTGCCTTTGCTAAGGAAACCGACACAGAGAGCAAAAGTAACTTGCCAGGCTCACAGAGTTCAGGGAGTGGCAGGACTGGACTCCAGACCAGGGAGTCTGGTGGGAAGTGGTACGCTGGGTCCTCATAAAAGCCCAGCAACTCCTTAGTGAGGGTAAACCCAAAGCACCGAAATCAGGTGTTCAAACAAGAACCGGCATTTGATAGCAGCATACCTCATCACCGCAAGTGGAAATGTCCACCCACAAATGAACCAAATGTGGTATATTCACACAATGGAATGCTACTCAGCCATGAAAAGGACCCAAGTGGCAGGTGGAAACTAAATTGAGTGGATGAATTTTAAAAACATGGTAAGTGAAAGAGGCTGGACATGATATTCACAAATTACATGAAATGTCCAGAATTGAAGGACCACTACAGAGACAGAAAACAGCCTGGCGGCTGTTGGGGTTTAGGAAGAAGAGAACAGGGAGGAGCTGATCAGCGGTTACAGGGCTTCCTTTTGAAGTGAAGAAAATCTTGAAACTAGAGAGATGTGGTGGCCATGGAATTCAGCGACATGTTAGAGGCTACTGCACTGTACATTTCAATATGGTCAGTTTGATGTTATGCAAATTTCTTCTCAATGAAACAAAAACAGAAGCAGGAGGCAGGTGGTCTGGTTTTCAGCCCAGCTTGTGACCCCTGCACCTGACAGCGCTGCCGCACACCTCTCCCGGCTCACCCCTCCAGTTTCCTCCTAACCCAGGGCTGAGGTGGGGATCTGGACTGTCACCCAAAGGTTGATGTGTCCCCAGCTTGGCATGACCTGGAGGTGGCAGGAAGTTTAAGCGGGGGAGCTGGTGGGAAGTCTTAGGTCACTATGGGTGTACTGTGTAGAGGACAAAGAACCCAAGTCTCTTCTTTAGCACCTCTGGGATACTTCACTCCCATCATGCCTTGTGCAGGCCCAGAACAGTAGAGCCAGAATAAACCTCAACCTCCACCCAGTCCTGGGCACTCAGACCGAGGGCTCAAGCGTGCTAGGTAGCGCCACACAGCTAGACTCCAGCCCTTCTTACTTTCTGAGTCAGTGTCTTGTTAAGTTTTCCAGGCTGGCTTTGAACTTATGATCCTCCTGCTGTAGCCTCCCAAGTAGCAGGACCACAGGCATTTGCCATTGCAGGCAGCAAAAGGTTCTTCTTGTTATCTTGATTTGTCTCAGGTATTTCTGACAGTATCGAAAAGCTGATTACTGAAGCCACTACCCCCTAAGCAGTGACAGGTTTGTGACCTACTGAGAAGATGACTTTTGTTAGTTTTTCTGTTTAAGAAAGAGGCCCAATGAGTCCCATATTTCCTCTGGCTCTGCCCTCTGACTAGCAGGGGACACTGCCGGGGATGATCATGACTGGCCGTCCTCCAGGAGGGAAACCATGGTATAGGATTAAGGAAGGCCTTTCTAGCCTACAGGCTTGTAGAATGTGTGCTGGGAAGCCAGGCCAGGCGGGCAAAGAAGACAGGCCAGAGAAACAAGACTGCTGCCTTTGGGAGGTCAAATCCCATCATAGCAAGGCTGAAAAGAGATTCTTCTTATTTATTTCTTACTTTTGGTGCTAGAATTTCATTGCTCAGTGCCCCCTGAGACCTGGGTAACATGAGCTGGCCACAGGCTGTGCCTGGGTTCTGCAGAGATCCTGACATAGGAGTCTCAGTCTGTTGGAGCATTAAAGAGCTTTCGCTTCACCAGTGCAACCAGAGGTTCTCTTAGTCACTCAGCAAGCAGCACAGGGACGAGCACAGGGAGAATCTGGCATCTGCCCCACCTGGCTCCCATCAAGGGCTGGCCGAGGGTGGGCATGAGGTCAGCCACACCACGCAGGGTGTCGCCTTGAGACGCCCAAGACCAGCTCTCAGCAAATGACTGTGCACTTGGGAGCTTGTGGTGGGCATCATCTTAGCATTGTGTGTCTACCATGGTATCAGGCACTGCAGTAGCCACAGGAGAAAGTGGGGTCCTCCTGCAGGTGAAGGGAGGGTCCTCCGGTGAGGACGGTGACAGCCACACTCACACGTGTCATCCTGGCTGCACTGAATGGCCGCAATGAGTGCTTCCTCTAGGCTCAAGTATGGACCACCAGCCTGGGCAATGGTGGTCACCCCGCCATGGCTGCCGGGATAGCAAAGCCAACCGGGAAGGCGCCCCGGGTGCTTCCTTCCCCTGGACTGGAACTTTAGACCCAAGACAAGCACACACAGGGGCCAACAACAGTTGGGTATGCATCAACAAAGACGGTCAGAGTTATTACTGCTTAAATGGGGTCTAACAGTCCCGCTTTTGGGTAGACGTCCAAGGAAATGACATGGGTGTGAAGACCCTTGCATTCCCATGTTCACTCTTCCCGACAGCCAGGACACACATACCGTCACTTGAGTGGCCCTCCGTGAATGAACAGATAAAGGCAGTGCAATGTACCTTCTTACACGCACACTAGAATATTACTCAGCCTTGACAAAGATAAATTGTCATTGTTCAACATGAATGAATATGGAGAACATATGTTAAAGAAAATAAGCCAGGCACAGAAAACAGATATCGTATGCCCTATGCTGTATATGGATTCTAAAGAAGCCGAGCTCCTAGAGGAAAAGTAGCCGGAGGCTGGGGCTGGGATGGTGGGTCGAACTGGTCGCCAGTGCAGTTAGTCAGACGGGAGGAACAAGTCCAGGTGTCCTGCTGCATAGTGGGATGATCATGGTTCACAACACTGAAATCTTCAAATCTGCCAAATCTTCAAAACTGCCAAAATAGAAGGTTTTACTGGACAGATGTCTGAGGTAAAGGGTGCCCTGCTCTGATTAGGATTCGAGGTACACAGGCATTAAAATATGCAGGGTCCTGTAAATATACATATTTAAGTGTCATTAAAATGTTCATTTACATTTTAAAAAGCTGGGCAGTAAACATTCTGAAAGGAAACAGCACTAAGAGACCCCTTCCCAGCTCTTTCTTGCTGTTCTCCCTAAGCAACAAAATGATTACCAGGCTTACCATGAAGGCTGTCACTAACCCCCGGACACAGCACCAGCGAGGGGCCTTCTTTGAGGACCCAGACCCTGAGCTCCCGGGACCCGGCCGGGGGACACGGGTGAGTCTGAGTGCTAGCAGGGAGATGCTTGCACTACACAAGTGCTCGGCTCACCCCGGTAACCAGATGGGCTCTGAACTGGAAATAAACCCTGTCTCCTCCTTCCAGCCAAAACCCGGCTCCCACGGCCTCCACAGAGCCTGCTTTCCCATCTGTGGCAGAACAGCGACTTCATGTTCTTGGATGGTGCGTGCTTGACACCTCCCAGAATAGACCACGCACAACCAGAGTCGCTCGCTGCAGACACCCCTGCCGTGCAGGGATTACTCAGCAGGGAGCCAGTGCCGCCCGGGGGAGTCCCGTTTGCAGGATGACAAGCCTGAGTCTCTTCCATCCCCTCTCAGTGCTGCTGGCCACGGGCAGAACGTGGCCTGGAGCCCTGTGGCACACCCCACGTGGCTGGTTTGGGGGGTCCGTTCAGGGACTCAGACCAGAGACGTGGGGGGTGGAGGGCCTCTGTGACCACTGTGATCACTCCTTGAAACACAGAGCTAACAAGGTGAGGCCGAGTGGAGAAGAGCCTGCTGTGCTGGTCTGGTTCCCACTCTGGGCTTTGCTAGGGGTGAGACCTGGAGCACAGCATGTAACATTTTGTGCCTCAGTGATCTCATCTGTCTTCCTGGGGCTCCTGTAGATTGTGAGGATTGTGTTTAGGGAGGTCGGGAAAGCATTCACGTAGAACCTGGTGTACCTGAGTAGGTGCTCAAGACAGTCATCCCCTCTTCTCTGTGGAGGTCACATTCCAAGTAGCGCCCCCCCCCCCCGACAATGCCTGAGATGGTGGCCAGTAGCAAATCTTACAGATTCTACATTTTCCCCAATTGGTTTATACCTACAATGAAGTTTGATTTATGAATTAGGCACAGTAAAAGATCAACCATAATGAACAGAACAATTATAACAAACAGCAATTAAATTCTTGAGCTTTGGTGCCACTATTAAATAAAATAAGCATTACCTGAACACAAGCACTGCATTACCACAGAGGCAACCAGATAACTGAGAGGGCTGCTGGGTGATGAACGGATAGGTAGCACCCACACTGTGGATACTCGAGACAGAGGAGAGTGACTCAAGATTTCAGCACACAAGTTAGAACCATTTAAAACCTGAGAACTGTTCATTTCTGAAATTTCCCATTTTTTACTTTTGGACTGTGGTTGACCTCACAATAACTAAAAGCAGGAAAAGCGAAACCGTGCATAAAAAGGGGCCATGGTACTGACTGCTTTGCCCATCTGCCTTCTTTACCCATGAGTCTTCTCGGAGAAGAATAAAACTTTGTGGGTGGCGGGGTTGCCATTTTGTGCTTTTTCCTCCTTCTTTTAATTTATTAGTTAATTAATTTTTGTGCTACTGGAAACTGAACCCAGGGCCTTTGTGCTCAGCTACGTCCCCAATGCTCACCTCTGTTTTATTTTTAGTTTTTCTTTTGGCCGCCCTTTATAGATTTGGACAGTACCCTTGGTCCACGCATAACTACAGCTTCCTTCCTGCAGAGCATGAACTGTTAGCTTCTGCTGCAAAAGCCAGGGAAAGTCAGGAATTATCGCTCAGAGTCAGGCACGATTTAAATAAGCAACCTGGAAACTAAATTATCATCTCCCTCTTTACATTCCCAATTTTAAAAAAGCCAAAAGGGAAGAGCAGAAGATGAAATTTGGACAATAACACTTAGAATCTGATAACTCTTGATCACTTTTCCTAGGGAACTGCTCTGGGATTTTCTTCTTTCCTTAATTATTTTATTTTTCCTTTGGGTTAACATTCAAAAATGCTCAGAATCATTAGCTACCTGGGAATGCAAATCAAAACTACAATGTGGTTCTAGCTCACCCCTGTTAGAATGGTTGTTAATCAGAAAACCCCAAGTGAATGCTGGTGAGACAGAAGGTCGTACACACTTGGCCGAGGGATTTTTGGAGAAAGACAGCATGGTGGATTCACATTAGGAAAGGTAGGTGTGGGCACAGGGGCCCGGGGTCTGGCCCATGCCCTGGTGATATCAGGCTGAGTCTGGGTGCCATCCTGCCTGGCCTCATCTTCCTTTGCAGTGAGAGACTGGACCACATGGGCTCTGTGGCTCCTTCTGGTCCAGCACCCCAAGAATGAGCTCAGAGGCCACAGGTGAGGCTGCCTGGGAGGAAGCGGGGAGGGGTTCCAGGACAGAGGCCAAGGTGCTGCCTTGGAGTGAGTCACAAAAGAAGCCAGATGCTTCAGCAGGGGTGTGGGGTGCGGCACTGAGAGGGTCACCCTGCAGCCAGCGGACCTCAAGGGGTTCAGCAGACACTGCACGCGCCTGGCTCAACTTCCTTCCTTCCCACCCCATCCACACCCAGCACCACAGCTGCAAGGTTCTCATCTTCTGCTCAGAATGTTCTGTCTCCAGCCTGCTCTCCCAGGGGCCATGCTGAGCACGTCTTCTCTGGCTCACGGACAGCGAGCCTCACAGTTGCTTCTCACTGCTGAAATTTCCTCCCAGAGGGATGTCTGTTCCTTGGAGTCAGCCACAAGAAACCAGGCCAGATGGCTCCTCTGACAGTCACCGCCTTGGGAAAGACAACTCCAGTCAGGCCTGGGCGGAGGCAGGGCCAGGGTGGAGAGACACAGCAGCTGGACCCCTGCCGGCGCAGCCCAGGTCCTTACTGCCCGAGAGCTCCTCAGAGACACACACTCTGTGGGTGAGACGTACTTTCTGACTTCAAATGCTGGCCAGTCCTCTAGGTTTCACCCCCATCCACTCCCTGGAACTTCTGGTCCTCTGTGTGTACCTCTCTCCCAAGCTCTACAAGTGGAGGGAGTTTCTGTCCTATTCCCCACAGGGCGGGCCACGTCCTCGGTCTTTCTATGTGTGTGCATAAAAATAACTGCAGTGGGGAAATCTTCTGACAGAGTCACTCACAGTTTGCCCGAGTACCACACCTCAGCTACAAGATCAGGAGTCAGTTCTTAGTTTGCTTAGTTCTTAGTCTCTGATCCAGGTGCCCCTTCTATGATAATAAAAGCATAGGACTTTGGAAAAGATCGAATGAAAAAATTATATAAAATTATAATGCAATGTACAGGGCTTATAGTTAATAGCTGGCGCATAATTATTTATGGTCTCCATACATACAAAAAAGCCAAGTGGCCACGGACGATGATCTTCAACTCTCTAGGTCTCTAGAGATGAGTCATTTATTATAGCACATGCAGCACTGTGGAGGAAACTTGAGGACACTGTGCTCAATGAAACCAAGCAGACAGAAGGACAAACACTGCATGAGTCCACTCTTCTGCTGTACTTGGAAGCTGTCAATCTCACAGGGACAGGAAGTAGAACAGGGAATGCCAAGGATCGGGGCAGGGGCTGGGGAAGAGGGATGGGGAGTCCACTGCTCAGAGGGATCACAGTTTTGATCTGAGGAGATAGGAATGTTCTGGACATGGACGGTGGTGATGGCTGGACAACAGTGCAACTCACTCAATGCCACTGATCTATATGCTTAACAAGGGCTGCATGGCAATTTTGTATGGTATCTGTATTTTGTCACACACAATAACAAGAGGGAGGGTTCACCCAAGTAATCTAGTTGACTCTTAATGGAATAGAGATTAGGAACTCACATTATGTTAAAAAAAAAAAAAAAAAAGACAAAGACAAAGCAAAGACCAGATCGTGATGTGCACGGGCAGGATAATGGCAGTGGTGTCACGTGTTTGGTATCCATCCATGGTTCCACTGACTGAGCAACTCAGGTGCCCTGGGCTTCATAGAAATGATTTTTACCCCCTCCCCATAGTGCAATGGTAGGGTTTGGTTAAATTCAACAAATTGTTTTCAACTGTTCCACTGCCTTCCAAATGATTCTCTTCCATTTCTAACAAACTTGAAGTAATGTTTCATTTTGCACAGATTTTCAAAGTTCTGTGCTTTTCAATTGTGTGGAAAATTTGGAAGAGATTTTATTTTTCTCTCTGGCCGCGAGTCGCAGAGCCAAAGTCAACAGAGCTAACTTTAACTGTGTTCCAAGGCAGCTCCCCAGTCTGTTGATACTTTGGTGCACGAGGGAGGTCAGGGAGTAGAAGAAGTGTGGCAGGTGAAGTATTACATTCCCAACTGGTCAACTGATCAACAATCATCTATTCCTGGCAGCCAACTGATCAGCAATTATTTATTCTGTGCTGAGGTAGGCACTGCAGGAGATACAAACAGGTATACAAATTGCTTGATCAATATATGAATATGCATAGCCTGGCTGTCCTGTGCATGACACGGTGGTGCTATGAGAGAAAGGAGAGTCCCAAGGCAACAGGAAGAAGGGTGACACCTACGATGGTTCAGTTGGTGACGAGCTACATGCACAATGGTGGTCATATCACCTACCGACACCTGGCCATCTCAGTTTGTGTAAACACACTTTACAATGTGTGCACAATGACAAAGTCACCCGACAAGGTATTTCTCAGAATGTAGGCTCGTGATTAAATGACACAAGACCATCAATGTCTCCTTGGGTTTGAAGACATTCTTACATGCAAAGATAGCTAACAGGAAGAAGCTAGTAATGCTAAATGTTAAATAAATGGCAGAAATCCGAAGCAACTCAGAGGTCACAAAAGACTGCAGAGGAGAGGAGACTGAATCTAGATCTGGTGCAAGGAGGGTTTTGATAGGTGAAGGGCACAGTACACATTCTGGCTGACAAAACAGCCCAGTGATACAGGTAGCAGGAGCAGCAACTGAATTTCCTACCCGTTATCTAAACAAAGAGTTGCTGAATGCACACTTCAGGTCTCAGTGGCCCTGGAGAACCTGTCCAGAGCATGCCTGACCTACCAGGAGGGAGGAAAGGTTGCTCACAATCACAGGACCACGCTGGCTTTTGTCGTGGCGTGTGCAGAGGTTGGCTAACCCTGCTCAGGACAGCTGGGAATGGTTTCATAAATGGATGCACTTAAACCAATGCTTGGAAGATGAGGAATGGATTTGACACATGCAAATGTGGTTAAGAGGAAAAGCCATTTCTGAGTACAGAGGGTACAGCTGTGGTGGCACAGGAGGCAGCCTGGTAGATGGGGTCCCAGAGGGATGCCCAATGTTTCTGGATGAGAAGCCTCAGCAAAAACACCCATTGTCAAGCAACCAGCCCTAAACAGCTGGGTCCTAGGCCAGGTCCTCATAGGAAGCCTCGGAAAAGGTCGATGACTTTGCTCCAAGCAGTGTCACTGCACTAAGAGGCCAGCCTTGGCCAACTTGAGATCTCGTACCCCCCAAACAACAGAGGACTACAGCAGAGTTACGGTCTGCCATGTCTACCAGGCGCTAGCAGCTGCCCATCCAAAAAGTGCTCAACTCCATTATTAAGGAATAGAATTACTCATGACTGGGTTAGGTCGGTGGCTTTTATTTCTGTAGTGACTGGTGGGTGAAATAGGCTAAGACTCAGGTGAGTTAATCTTGCAAGAACTCCACAGTAGTCAAGAGAAATTTATACACATAACAATGGCATTGGTATTTGGCAAACAGCTTAACTGACTCTGGGCCTCATTAATAGTGTCCTGTCTTGGCAAACAGTGAGTGGGAGAGGGGAGGAACCACAGTAGATTTGGCTGGCAGGGTGTTCTTCCTCGGTCTGTAACATTCCCACCTAGAATATAGAAGTGATGTCTTCATAAGTACTGTCATGCAGGTAATGTGTTTGATTAAATCACTGAATCTAAAATAAGAGGTGCTAGAGATCTTCTCATCCATACTTGAGTTCTCCTACAAAACCTTGTGTGAGATTACTTCTAAGGGGACTTACTCTAGGCTTTTATAGTGTGGCAGAGAAGGGGTTCCAATTCCACTGAGATGACAAATGTGTCCCGAGTTCCTCTTTGTTAGACCTGTATTCACTTCTATATCTCTCTCTCCCATGACAGTCCTTCAAACTCCTCAACTTTCTATCAGCAGTGAAATAGCAATGATGGCTGTGGATAGAACATGCCAGAACCAAAAATAGTCGGAATGGGAAGGGATCATGGAGGTGGCACATGTAATGTTCAATGTCATTGTTTCCAGAGTCAGACATCCATCCATCCATTGATTCATCCATCCATCCATTGATTCGTCCATCCATCCATTCATTCGTCCATCCCATCCCACCCACCCAACCAATTCATTAGCAAATGAATAGTAAACACTCACTGTATGCTATCTATTCTGCTAGCTCCTGGGGACATAAAAGTGGAGTAAAACAAATCAAAACAAACTGCATATGACCTGGCCCTTGTGGAGCTCACGGTCTAATGATTGTAATGGACTAATAAAAGCACTACAAAGAAATGTAAGTCACAACTGTGCTAAAGGCTATGGACCGGAAACACGTGGTGCCAGGAGGCTACATGAAAAGGCCATTAACTTAAAGGGAAGAGGAGGGTTCCTATGAACATATCGGTTAGCTGAGTCCTGACCAGAACAGGCACCAAGTAGGTGACCGAAGGAGAGGGGGTGGTGGGCAGTGTCCCGTGCAGAAGGCACGCAACTTCAATGGCCCTGTGATCCAACTGCTTCTCAGAGATAAAGGGTCTTGGTCAGATCCCTCACCTTCTCTAGGCTTTTGTCACCCAGAGGTAACAGCGCTGAATGTCACACAGGGGAAGCTGGCGTGAAACTCCTACCTAGATTTGTTACTGCGAGAGACATTGATCAAGGGACTCCTGGTTTAGGTCCTCTTTTTTTTTTTTTAAATAAATAGAATGCCAATGTGTCTTCCACATAACATCTTTCCAAGAATTACCACCTAAACTCCATGGGGAGGGTAGCAGAGCTTAAAGCAAAGCTGCCCTAGTTACAGTGGGCAGCAGGGTCCCACCATCTGACCTCAGCCTCCCAGCATGCCAGCCTCCTCCCCAGCAGCTGGGCAGAATCTCCAGAGCTCAGAGGTGGGCAACTTCAAACCAACACAACTCCTACCACGGAAGAAAGCCAAGCTTGTGGGGCAACGGTTCACCTAAGTCATCTTGGACTTTACAGATCCAAGTGCAACTGGCTTAGGCTATGATTGTGTTCATACCAGTGGGAAGCTATTCTTCTGAAGTGAGAGAAATCTTTGCTCCTGCAGTTGAAGAGGCCGTCAGACACACAGAGAGGGGAGGTCAGACACATGGCTCAGCGTATGTCTAAGACAGGGGCTCAGTGCAAGTCTCAGTGACTTGGAGTCTTAGATTTCCTGTTCTATAGGCAGCGGGGACCACAACTGTTTCTCGGTGTTACAGAGACTTACCAGGTCTTCAAAGCACTTTATTATTAGTAATGACTACTTAACTTTATCATGATAAAAGGGCAACTTTGTTTTTGCAAATGGCCAAACAACATTTAGTGCTTAAGCTGGTAAGGAAAAGCAATCAACTCCATTATTTCATACGTGTTAAAGGAGCAAAAGTATAAAGCATATACTTCCTAACCTGACATTACAGGTCCTATAAAAATTCTTGGGGTGAGGGGAAGAGCTCCAAACAGCTTTAGAGAACTGTATACATTTAGGCGTCCCTTAACACACACTGTCTGGAGGTGCAGAGCTTCACTGAAGTCAGAAGCTTCTGGAATGTTTGTGCTCCCTGTGGTGCAGCCATGTTCCAGCTGAAGGCACATTTCTGGTAGATTTGCTTTTATTTCGTGAGGGGAGGACAGCAGCCTGTCACTTCCTTTTCCAGAAAAAGGAACAGGCCTGGTGAAACGAGGTGGTCAGTAGGGCCCACCACTGTGTCATCATCCACTCTGCCCAGATGGTTCATGTCTCCTACAGTCACCATCAACGGCCTGCAACAGTAATCGCTGTAACGCTTATCTGCCAACTAAATTCCAGGAAACTCCTAGAAATGTGACTATGACTTTATCATAAAAGGGGAAAAAATCAGTAAGAAATATTACTTAGCAGGGAACGTATAGGAAGCAAAATGAAAGAAAATTAAACAAATATTTAAAATAAGAATGACCTACTATGTAGTAAGCGCTAGGTATTTTCATTCATCTCTTTTTATCCTTAAAAAGAAAAGAAAATATGAAGAAAATAAAAAAACCAGAAGGTGGGACACATAAGACTGACAAATCCAGGAGGTCAGAGCTAGAAAACATAGGACACGGATCTGTGAGTTGTGTGTTGAACTGCTAAAGATACCCCCTTGGTCCAGAAATCTTGACTAACACAGAAGGAATAACCAATCAATTCCTGGGTTCAAATGAAGGAAAGCGAAACACTGTGCTCCCAGCACAGGTTGGGTCAGGCTTCACCTGGAGAACTCGATGGCCTGATAGATCGATTCCTAAGGTGCTGAGCTGCATCAACAAGCACCACCTCGTTGAATGCTGACTTGGTCCTATCCTACTGGGAACCACTTCCCCTACTTTACAGCTGAGAGACTGTCACCTACAGAGGTCAACAGTGAGTTTCCCAAAGTCACCTCACACTGGTTAATAGAAGCAGGGTCCCAACTGAGGTTTGGTGACCTCCACAGCCATGATCTTAATGCTGGGTGGGGCACACTGTCTAATGTCAGGGACCAATGTCTCCATCTTGTTCCTGTTTCAAACACTGCTAGGTCCTATAAAGGTGTGCTCTTTATGAAACTTGAGAAAATAGTTTTAAAATGTGACTCTATTAAAAAGAAAACAATTTTGCTTGGGTCAAGAGGCACTGGGGCAAGTCTTTTGGTGATCTGGATATCTCTGCTATTTGGAAAATCTATGGACCTCTCTAGGTCTCAATACAACAGAGGTAATACTATTTGTTTCTAACTCCTCTCTCAGCTAAGAAAAGCTGAAGTCATAGGAGAGAAGCATTGTCAGCAATTTAGAACAAAGCACTAATAGAGTCAAGTCAGAGTCAATAAACCATTTCAAAACATTACTGAGTTACAGTTGTCCATTTTCAAAGTCAGTGCAAAAAGTCTTTGGTATTTTCTTCAAAAAAAAAAAAAAAAGAGATTTCAGGCTTACACGTCTGTTACACTGGAGAGAAACATAATCAATTTGCTCCAGTTGATTTTTGTCCATTATAAACATTTTGGTGAAATTCAATAACACTGCCTGTGGGTTACTTTCTGAGGCAAGGTGTCCAGATGCTTTGTTGTGGGTGCATGGGCAGTGACAATGTGTCATGGGTAAGAAACTAATGGTGTAGTCCTGATCTTGCAGATAATTTGATTCATGCTGAGCTTTTATTGGGCGGATGAATGATCATGGGTTGGGAAGCAATGTATTTTGGACAGATTGCTGGGACAGGTGATCAGAAAGTGCACCTGTCTCTGCCTGCCACAATCTGTCCCATGCATGACAACTGGTTCATAATACAAGAAGAAGGAAGGTTCTAGAATAATGGTAAGATAAACTAAAGATCTGCCCTCTGCGTAAACCTAAATGTGATGAATAACATACGAGAAAAATGGCTTTTTAAAATGTAGACAAGTGAAGATGAAAAGACAGATAGAGAAAACTCACTGAGCACAACAGCGAAGAACACAAGGACCAGTAAAGAGCACCCAAGGGTTAGCTGCGCGGAATGGTGAGCCATGCCACTTATTGCAACCCAGATATTAACATCTACCCTAGAAGAGGGGAAGTCTTTGCCCACCTGGGGCAAGAAGCTGCTGCTGAACTTCCTGCCCCACGCGGAAACTTCTGGAGCTGTCTCCTTGTCCTAACAATGGACTAGAAGAGAAACAGAACAAATAAGACCTACAGCACAGATTGGAGGAAGGAACCTGGCCTTTGTCTGGATTCTGAAAACACAAAGAAGGAGCCTATCCTGAAAATCAAACTAAGTGTGCCTCATGTACAGTTCCTCAGAGCTCAGACTGAGACGAAGGTGAGGTTGGTCCTGGGGAGGTGCTAAGCCTGGACGGCTGGCAGAAAAAAGTGCAGAAACAGCCCAATGGAGAAAGTGAGCCTGGAATCTCATCCCAGAAATGCTCCAAATGACACTACCTGGAGGCTCAAAAGTATAGAACACACAGAAAACAATTCATTTTGTACTAGAGTCATCAGACATAGAGACAGAAAGATTAGCACACCAAGGACTTCAGGTATAGGACTAATCTTAAAAAAAGAAAATGAAAAGTTAAGCATTCAAATGTTTAAAATGCTTTAAAACATAAAATAACCATGTGAAAAAACATAAAAAATAGCAGGTCTAGAAAAGACCCATGTAAAAATGTATAATAATAAAACTGTACTTATAATTTTAAAGTGAATGGGAGAGTTAAATAACGGAAGACACAGCTGAACGGAAGATTAGTGAACTGGAAGGCAGATCCAGGGACTGCTCAGAATACAGGACAAAAACACACAAATAGAAAATTTAAGAGGTTAAGAAGTAATAAGATAGAACACGAGTATTAGAAAAGTATAGACAGAATGGAGAGTGACAATATCTAAAGAGATAATAACTGGGAAATTTCTAGGATTAATGAAAATTTTTGCATAAGGAAGGACATAAACCTTCAATGTTTGAAAAATGCGTTAGACACACGGTAATATAACTGAGGAGCACCTAAAGGAAAGAGATGACCAGGGAATAACTAGCAAAACCAAAATTCACAAGAAATGACAAAAATATAGACTTTATACTAGTCATAAAATGGCTACATGATAATGACACAATCTCCCCCACCCTGCCCCAGCACCACCCTCTGAAGTCACCGTAGATTACATCCACTTTAGCTCTCCTGGAATACTGAGAAATTAAAATACTTTCAGACAAAGTGAGATAAAATGAGAGTTTGTGACTGACACATTGTCAATGGGAGATTTATGAAAAGTGTGTTTCAGGCAGAAGAAAACTAAACTCACATAAGCAGTGGAGACCAGAAGCCGGCAACAGTAATAACACCATGGTGGACTGCACAGCCCAGAGGGATCTCAGCTTTCTCCCCAGGGCTGTCCTGACACTGTGGTTTCACATGGCTGGATTTCCAGGACTAAGCTCCATCTTTGAAAGCACTGCTGGCCATGCTCCGAGCTGATGGAAATACTTCTGGTCCTGTCATTACCACAGTCCCCACGGGACCGTCTGCTCCTGGAGCACCCAGTGGAGGGACACAGCCCCAGGGACTCTGACCTGCTCTCAGCCGTA